AACTCAACCCTCTCTCTCTTGCTTGACATTTGCCCATATCTTTTCTCTTTAACTGTTTTTCTTACCCACATCTCCTTTCTTTCTTTCTTTTCTCTACCGCTCATCTCTTCTCTCTACTTTTTCTATGGCCCACATCTCCACTCTCTCTTTCTCTGTCTCTTCCCCTCATCTCCTTTCTCTTTTTCTCTATCTTGGTCATGGTGAATGACAAACAGAATCAGAGAGATGAAAGTCAGTAAAAAGAGATGGCTATGGTGAGTGACGAACAAAATAAAAGAAATGGAAGTGAGTAACAAACAGAATAAAAGAAATGAAAGTAAGTTAGTAGAAGAAAGAAAATGACAATATATACATAATTATTTCAGTATTTCACACATGTGTATGTAGTGGGAAAAACAAAATTTTCCCACCTACAATATCAAAGGAAAAAGTCAGTATGAGAAGAGATAAAATTGATTTATTAAAAAGTGTATAGACACTTAAAACGACAATTATAAAGAAACTAATGGAGTTTTACATTTCATTACATGTGACTTAATATAAATGTTGTTTGTCGTTAATATAATGTTGTTTATGAAATGTTTCAATTACAAGCAATAAACATACCCAATATTAAAGTTGTTCAATAATTATCAATTAGGAAAAAATTATGTAAGTGTGCACAAAGAATGAACTCATATTAAAGAGTGATTTTTGACAAACCTGCGGTCTTTATATGTTTACTAAGGGGATGATGCTTGAAAAATAGAAAATTAATCCTAATTAATTAATGAAGTAATTTATAATAATAGAAATATGATTAAAAATAGATAATGTAAATTGAGAGATGATAAAGTAATCATGCTCAACAGAATATGTGGTCACAATTGCAATTTGCAAAGCCCAAGAGTGTAGAAAACAAAAACATTTTAATCAATCAAATATATCTAAAGCATGCATAAAATTAAACATAAATTACATTAATCATTATTGGAAAATATGCCACCGCTTTGCGGCCACCACCGACAACCACTCCGCCACTCTTCCCTTTCACCGCCACTTCCCAAACTCAAAACCCCCACAATTCATTTCCGTCTTAGCAAAATATGCTAGGAAGGCCAACCTCATTTAGCCCGCCAACTGTTCGACACGATTCCCCGCCCAACAACCGTCCTTTGGAACACCATCATTATTGGTTTTATTTGCAACAAAATGCCACAAGATGCCATTTTGTTCTATGCCCAGATGAAAAAATCTGCTCCTTATACTTTGTTTGATACTATACTTACTCTTCGGCTCTCAAGGCTTTTGCCGCCACACGCAATTTGAGAGTCGGTAAAGCTGTTCATTTCCGTTTAATTAGGGGCTTATTGAACCCCAGTAGGATTGTGTATAACTCTCTGTTGAATATGTACTCTACTTGTTTGAGTTCTGTGGTGGATAGTGAAATTGGTGGGTGTGGTTATTCTGATTTTGATTATTCAAAGTATGTTTTAGTTTGTAAAGTATTTGATACGATGAAAAGGAGAAATGTTATTTGGGTGTTGTTGCGTGGAATACTATGGTTTCATGTTACGTAAAGACAGAGAGATATGCAGAAGCGATTAGGCAATTTAGGATGATGATGATGAAGTAAATTACACCCGGTACTGTTAGTTTTGTTAATGTTTTCCCGGCTTTGGCGACTTTATGGGACTATAAGAACGGTAACGTGCTTAATGGATTGCTTGTTAAATTTGGAAATGAATATGTAAATGATTTGTTTGTTGTGAGTTCGGCTATTTTCATATATGCTGAGCTTGGTTGTGTTGATTTCGCTAGGAAGATTTTTCCTGTTGTTTGGAGAGAAACACTGAGGTTTGGAACACTCTGATCGGTGGGTATGTTATCAGATGAAATTGATTTTGATGAGGTGACTTTTTTTATCGGTCTTAACTGCAGTTTCACAGTTGCAGCGATTGGATTTAGCTTAACAGTTGCATGCCTATATAATTAAGAATTTGGCAACGTTGCCAGTTATTGTATTGAATGCAATTATTGTCACGTATTCAAGATGCGGCTTTGTCCTTACATCATTTAAAGTTTTTGATAATATGCTGGAACGGGATGTTGTTTCTTGGAATACAAGGATTTCTGATTTCGTTCAGAATGGGTTGGATGATGAAGGATTAATGCTTTTGTATGAGATGCAGAGACAACAATTTATGATTGATTCCATTAATGTTACTGCTTTGCTTCAGCAGCTTCAAATCTGAGAAACCGTGATATTGGAAAGCAGACCCATGCTTATCTCTTAAGGAAAATCATACCTGATGAAAAGTATTACTCTTGACCTGTTCAATCGATCCCAGAAAATTTATTCTCTTCCACATTGCAATTTATTACCCTAAATTGCATCGTAACAACTATCGACTTTGGAGATCTCAGATTTTATTTGTTGTCAGCTCAGAGCTTGAAGATCACATCACTGGTTTGAGTGTTTGTCCACCTCCATTCTTGAAGGTCAATTCAGAAGGATTTTCATCTTGTGCAATGATGACAAAGGTCAATCCTAAATATTCGTTATGGAAGAGAATCGACAAATGTCTAGTGAGTTGGCTTTTTGCTTCTATCTCTGAATCGATATTTAGGCTAGTTTCTAAACATCAATTAGCTTCTAAAATTTGGCTTACACTTGAAGAAGAATTTGTTTCGGAGACTAAAGCTAAGACTCTACATATTAGGAGCTTATTACAATGTACTAGAAAAGAAAACCTAACTAGGAGTGAATACATGCTAAAAATGAAACAATATGTTGATGATGTACTACCTGCCTGTGGTTGTGTGATAACTGATGAGGATTTGTTGAATTACATACTGGATTTGTCCTGAGTTCGTTGTTGTGGTAGTTAACATTACTTCCAGCTTTGGAAGAATATCATTGCAAAAGACACAATATTTGTTATGAAAGTATGAGTTACGATTAGAAAAGAATAATGCTTTGCTATCAGCTGCTATTAGTTTAGACTTCAATGGAGATTAGGTGAATTTGGTTAGTTTAGCAGTATATGTCAATTATAAGTTTGGTTAGAATAAGAACCTGAAATCAAATGATAATGTTGTTAATCATCAAGGTGCCACTGATGGGGACTATAGTCCTAGTTTTGGTCATAAAGGTGTTAGTGTTGCTGGCTATAATCCTGTTCCATAGTACTTAGTACCTAAGCAAACTCCCAATTTCAATACTTTAATCCTGCCTCTCACTCAGCTCTTTTAGCTCAACATGTGAATTTTGTTCCTGTTAATCATCAAGGTGCCACTGATGGGGACTATAGTCCTAGTTTTGGTCATAAAGGTGTTAGTGTTGCTGGCTATAATCCTGTTCCATAGTACTTAGTACCTAAGCAAACTCCCAATTTCAATACTTTAATCCTGCCTCTCACTCAGCTCTTTTAGCTCAACATGTGAATTTTGTTCCTGTTAATCATCAAGGTGCCACTGATGGGGACTATAGTCCTAGTTTTGGTCATAAAGGTGTTAGTGTTGCTGGCTATAATCCTGTTCCATAGTACTTAGTACCTAAGCAAACTCCCAATTTCAATACTTTAATCCTGCCTCTCACTCAGCTCTTTTAGCTCAACATGTGAATTTTGTTCCTGTTAATCATCAAGGTGCCACTGATGGGGACTATAGTCCTAGTTTTGGTCATAAAGGTGTTAGTGTTGCTGGCTATAATCCTGTTCCATAGTACTTAGTACCTAAGCAAACTCCCAATTTCAATACTTTAATCCTGCCTCTCACTCAGCTCTTTTAGCTCAACATGTGAATTTTGTTCCTGTTAATCATCAAGGTGCCACTGATGGGGACTATAGTCCTAGTTTTGGTCATAAAGGTGTTAGTGTTGCTGGCTATAATCCTGTTCCATAGTACTTAGTACCTAAGCAAACTCCCAATTTCAATACTTTAATCCTGCCTCTCACTCAGCTCTTTTAGCTCAACATGTGAATTTTGTTCCTGTTAATCATCAAGGTGCCACTGATGGGGACTATAGTCCTAGTTTTGGTCATAAAGGTGTTAGTGTTGCTGGCTATAATCCTGTTCCATAGTACTTAGTACCTAAGCAAACTCCCAATTTCAATACTTTAATCCTGCCTCTCACTCAGCTCTTTTAGCTCAACATGTGAATTTTGTTCCTGTTAATCATCAAGGTGCCACTGATGGGGACTATAGTCCTAGTTTTGGTCATAAAGGTGTTAGTGTTGCTGGCTATAATCCTGTTCCATAGTACTTAGTACCTAAGCAAACTCCCAATTTCAATACTTTAATCCTGCCTCTCACTCAGCTCNGCATGTTGAAGTTGCTGCAACAGAAAGCTGCTTTCTTTTGTGTCTGTGTGGTGTTTCTAGAGGAGAATTTTGGGAAGGTGCTGGCTGTGGAGCTGCAGCTTAATTGCTGCATTTTTCTGCTGTTCCATGGACAGTTCTGCAGGTTTTGCAGTTTCTTGTCTGCTGGAAGTTAAGCTTATTCTGGGGAGGCTGCTTGGATGTTCCCGGCTGTTCTAGACTGGCAGTTTCCGGGAGTGTTTTTTCTGGAGTTGCAGCTCAATTGTTTGCATTTTTGCAACTTGTGCAGTGTTGGTTCAGCATCTGAAAACTGATTTTTTTGGCAGCTTCAGCAGTGTATAGTTGGCTGGATACATTTTTCATTTGAGTTAAAACTTAAAAGTACTTTTACAATTGTACTCCTTTAACACTTTTGATTTGAGTTAGAAGTACCTTTTATAATTGTGTAGTTTCCTGGATACACATTTCATCTTAGTTAAATCTACTTTTACAATGTACAAACTACAAAGTACTTTTACAATTGTACTCCTTAACACATTTCATTTGAGTTAGAAGTACCTTTTACAATTGTATAGTTTGCTGGATGCACATTTCATCTGAGTTATATCTACTTTTACAATGTATAAATTACTTTTACAATGTACAAAGTACTTTTACAATTGTACTCCTTAACACATTTCATTTGAGTTAGAAGTACCTTTTACAATTGTATAGTTTGCTGGATGCACATTTCATTTGAGTTAAATCTACTTTTACAATGTACTCCTTAGTTAGAAATTAGCCATCTTGTAATCAAATTAAATACAACAGTATTAACTACAAAGGTACAAATGGGCTCTATACTCAAAAAACAAAGTGAGATTACATAGTCATGTTGAGATGAGAGCCATTATAGCACTAAATGTACCATAATAGCATTAACTACAAAGGTACAAATGGTCCTTAATACCACTAAATTTACCATTTGTAGATTCTGCTTAAGCCCCACGTGAAACATTTTTGCCAACTGGTAAAATACCTTCTGGTGAGCCGCATTGCCAACCGCTAAAAAGTATTTGCATGCTAACTTCACATCTCTCTTCACTCCACTCCTTTTCAGATACATTACTCCAAGGTTATAATGCTCACTAGCCTCTTCATTATCAGCCGCCTTCCCAAAGTACACTTTTTCCTATAGTACAAAGAATTGGTTTTCATTCTAAACTCTTCAAATAACTCCTTAATAGACTTTAAAGAACTTAATCAATATAGATGACAGCAAAAAGGGATACTAGCATTCAAGCAAAAATAGTGCAAAAAACATCACCGATGCTATAAGTAGCATTAAATCTCTTTTGGTTAGTTACTTCTAAATTCAATTTTATATGATGCCAACCCAAGAGTAATTATCTCGGATACTAAATTAATGCACTTGAAAACTCAAAATGTACAAAAACCACTACAGAAGCAAAGGAACTTACTGTGGTGTAATTTTTCTTTTCCACTTCATAGCCCTTGACATGCAAATACCCCATTCCATTATACGCCGAATAAAGCTGCTGTCTAGAAGCGTCAGCCATTCAAGTGCCTTAGTGTAGTTCCTTTCAACACCAGCTCCTCCTGCATATATCTCTCCAAGAAATTCCATGGACTGGGGTTCACCCCTATCCGCAACCTTGGAAAACCATGCCAATGCCTTG